GAGGTAGACTCTAGAGCCTCCAGAAGGAATCAGCTCTGCCCACTAATTTGGGATTTATATTCTCCAGAACCATAAGGTAATAAACGTGTATTGCTTTAAGCCACGAAATGTGATAATTTGTCACAGTAGTAACAGGAAACTCATACCCCAGCACTGTTAATAAATTTTGCCCTGAAAAGTAGCTGTGTATAAAATCCCAGGATATCTGACAGTTTGAACTAGGAACCTACGTTTGTCCATGAGAAAGGCAAAGTAGAGTGGGACACTGCCCTAGGGTTCATGGGCACAGGATGCTACTTAGGAGCCACTTGGGCAAAAAAGCACAAGGTTGAGAGGGAAGGGAGCCAGGAACAGAGCTGCCCCAGTGGGGTCAATTCACTGCAGGTGGTGTAGAAAGAGCGATGCTCTTTACTGCTTCTTCTGGAACTGGGGGACCAGAAATCTGGGAGAGACATAATTTTATTTCATTTATATTTAGTTATTTCCTTTTCAGCTTTTTTTCAGCTTTCCTGTTAATCTTTGGTTCTTTTTTAAAATTACAAACCCAGCTCAGCTTATGCAAGTTAAAGGGCTTCTAGATATAAAGGAAAATAACTACATATCTGATCAGGTAAGGCTTTAGCCTGCTAGTGAAGAATGAACTGGAAAGGAAAAAAACTTTTAAAAGGTCAGCATAAGGACAACCGCAAAAATTTTGACAAAAAGTAATGATCCATCAAGTATGTAATCTATAAAATGGGGATAATAATAAACCTTCGAAGACCATCGTACAATAAAATGAGAGAAGGCACACAAGTACATAGTAAACAGAAAATCCAGACTTCAGATTGTTGTGTGAACCTTTCAGGCTGCCACAGTCTCCAACGTGGTGCTTCAGTGGAAATGTTTAAACGACTCCCTTCGTCTGCAATATGGTCTGTCACAAGGGCTACTAGCCCTTAAAGGACTGCTTCCATTTTATTCCCAACAATTCTACCTACAAACTGTTCAACTCCATGCAAATGGATTAAGAGCACAAAATCTGATCAGACTCACAGAAATTGGTATCACAGGTCCACCACTTAGTCTGTGTCACCCAGGCAATACTTGAGGTGTCACACCAACAGATGTGTGAAGTTAAAATGCTCAACAATAAAGATATTTTAACAATAATAATTTGACAGGACCCTCAAGAAATTCAACTCCTCCATAAAGCCCTCTTTGATTCCCCTGGATTTTCTGATCACTTACTGTAATGATGGGGCAGGGGGTGTCTCTCCTTCTTCTGAAATCTTGCAGCATCTCTTACCCCATAGTTTCACCACCTCGTTTGGTTGAATATCATAGCAGCAGTCAGATCGGATGGAAACTATTTCCTTTGCTATCTCCCTGAGCAGACTAAAAATTACTCTAATTCAGCAATTCCATCGCCTAATATAGTGCCTAGCAAAATCAATCCAGATAAACAGGCTCAAATTATCATGATAATCTTCATAATTTGTACTTTTTTACTTGGTTACTGCCTATCTCCCCGCACAAGAAAACAAGCTCCTTGTGGACGAAGACCATGTCTGTCTTGCTCACCTGTGTACCCCTAGACCCTAGCATAGCGCCTGCCACATATGAATGGCTAAAGGCCTGAAAGCCAGAGGGGAAGAAAAACCAACTGCCTGCAACAGACCTAAAGGGAAGGAAGACTGGTAGTACTGTATTTCCTGCCTTAACCCTTTCCATAAAATCACAAAATCTGAAAGCTTGAAGGAACTTTGCGGTTCACCTTTCCACTTTTTGGGTTCTAAGCATAATGTCAACCACCATCATCCACTGATTAATCTCATCAGCTGTGAAGGGGAATAATGGTCATGATATAAAAAATGTTATGTAGTAAGATATTTGTTTGCTTAACTTTTTTTTGTATGTATATTTAATGTATTACCTGTGAGTAATATTAATTTTAATCTGCACAGTACTTTATAATCTAAAATTCCACATCTTTATTGAAGAATTAAAACTGTTCTCATGAGGTAACACACAGGAGACACTTAGAACAGGGTCTGGCACCTGGCAAGCAAAAGTGTCCACCTTATCCTCATCATTAGCAAAATCGCAATGTGTATAACCATGAAGAAACTCAGGCGTCCTTTTTCTACTCAAGGACCTTCCAACAGTCTTAATCCATTCTTTCTCCAAGAACAATTCATGGCTTACACAGAAATAGCTACCAAAGGACTTTCTCCTCATCTAACCCCTAATTTCCATAATGGCAAGAAAAGGAAAGAAGGTCCTTTCCTTTTCACTTTATTATCATTATGCAGACTTTCTACAAAAAAAAAAAAAGAGAGAGAGAAAGAAAGAGGCAGCAGGACTGCAAAAAAAAAAAAGATAACCGCCAAGGAAAAACCTAGTAGGGCTAAGGTGGAGCCAGGGCATTAGGTGATTCTCAAATGGACATGATCAATATAGTGGGAGTGGAGTATCTAGAAAGATCCCCCAACTTCAGTACCAGTCTGGATTAGATTCTCTGAATTTGAAATCAATAGATGGCTTGCATTGCAATTATGTTTTTAAAAGATAAGTGTTATATGAGAATATGTTATAAAAGTGTGACAAAAATTTGTAACTTCCAACATATACATATATAACGTGATATAGTAAAGAATTTATTTAGAATGAGAACATGAAAGCTTGAAAATAAGGTCTTTGCTGAAATACTGTCTTCTCAGACCCCTTGATCCTTGATTTAAGGCCAGTAGGCCTATTAAAGGTAACTTGGAAAATATTTAAGAATCAAGAAACTACATGCAAACAGGTAAGGGATACATGGACATTTAGCTTCATCCTTACCACTCAGTTAAAATCTGCTATTCAGCTTCAGTGTGGTCCTCGGCCTTTGGAAGGCAAAGGAGCTGAAGCCTAACTCCGGATCATTTCTGGCATCAGTGAACCTGTCCATGATCAATGACCTTATGACTGAGTATCTTGTGATCATAACTAAATTATGTCACTAATAGTGTCTCATTTGAATTCAATGCAAACATCTGTATATTCACCTGAAATACAGATTAGCATTCTAGATGTGATCTGGATGAAAATCTCAATGTGTTTTACATGTTGAAATTACAAAAGCCAAGAAAAGATAAGTGTCTATTTAATACTGCAATAATAGAATAATATATGGTGATTTTGGAAGTAGTTCATTCTATATCCAAAAATAACAAAAAACTTCCAAATAATCAAGTACATGGAAAAATAAGTTGGAATTTATAAAAGTATCAAAAGAATGTACATTGGCCAGCTGTTTCTAAACACCTAAATAGTAATATAAGACAAAAACTAGGGATTATGAAATAATCCTAATATTTATATAACTAATATATAACTATTAATAACAATAAACAAAATAAGAACTGTGTTTAATTTTTAAGTGATTACACTTAAACCTGAGACTTTCAAGAAAACCCATTTGGGAATTTTCACATCCTGTGAGAAAAGATTAAAAGCAGAATTTCAACTTCTGCTTTGAAAGAATGTTGACTTTGACATTTACCTATTTGGCAAAAACATCTATTCAGTTCATCTCGAATTCAGATAAAGGGTTTACTCCTGGTTTTCAACTTTGAGCATTCTTCCAAACTCCCATTTGAAAAAGTAAATATGGGGTTTGCTTCTTCTAGTCTTATCCTAGGAGATACTTATAGGTCATGCTGTCAAGGAAGCCCCGAAGCACCTGTCCACCGTCCTGCTCTTCGGGGGAGGGGGTGGAGGGAGATTTATACCCATAGGAAAGGCATCCTAGTGTCTCTGGGTGCATTCTGTGAACCTCTTGCTAGCATACCTTTCCGAAACAAGCTTGCCTTGCCCAAACCTCTATTTTTCAAAATCTCTGTTAAGGGGAGAGCACGGGGGCGGGGGGGGGGGTACCAGGCAGGGACAGATCTGAAAAGAGCATGAGCTTTGGACCCAGAAGCCATGGATCTGAAGCCTAACTTATTAATTCAGCAGGAAATTTAACCTTGCAGTACTTCTGTTTTTTCATCTCTTACATGAGGATTACTGTTCTCAAGGGAGTTGTGCTGGTGATGTTACTAAAGTAGGTCAAGTTCCAAGTACTGGCCTTGGCCCAAAGTATCTGCTCAATAAACGGTAGCTCTCATTACCCTGAGCACTTTACCAGTGCCTTCGTGGTTCCAAATTTTACATATCCTGTGACAGGGCCATAACACAGGTCTCATCAACTCCAAAGGTCTGGAATTTTCCAGTTATCTCTCCTCCTAGGCCTTTGCTTTCAACATCCTACATTTCCAAGCCGTTCCCGTATGTACACTGCAATGTGCCTGCCTTGCTCACTTGCCTCTAAATTTCTGGAAGGAGAGATCTAGTCAGAGAAAATCCTAAAGCAGCGAAAAAAGATCAGAGATTCTAAGATTATCTAGTTGGCACCTCCCAGGATCCACAAAACACATTTTGGAAGGAGGGAAAGTTCTGCTTGTCTGAATGAGATTCTAAGGCCTGTGTTGAAGTGCGCTCTGGGCGCCGCCTCCCAAACCCTATAGGGAGAGCGAGGCGCTTCTGGCCACATTTCCTCATCCTAAAGGAAGAAAAGCGGCGGCGGGGCTGCGTGCGCGCCTATGAAGACACCCGCCCACGCGCGGCTCCGCCAACGCAGGGACGCAGCTCACTCCCCGAACCGAGGAAGAGGGAGGCTCCATCCGGACTCACTTCCTGCAGGGGAAAGGAAAGACATCTTTGCCGCAGGGCGGCCGGCGACAGTTCCGCCCCTGGACCGGCCGGCTGCGGAGCGCGCCCCGCAGGCACTTACGTGGCGCAGCCGGCTCGGGAGGCGCGGGTAGGCGAAGGCCGCCCCGCCAGTCCCGGCCTGCCCGCCAGACTCCGGCCGACCCCGGCTAAGGGCGACGGCAGCGACGCCCGCGGAGCCTCCGGCCCCGGCGGAGGGGCGACCCCGGGAGGCGCACAGAGCGCGGCAGGAGCAGGGGCGCGCAGGCTGCCCTCGGGTCACCCACCTTTCTCACTCTGCGGGCCGTGTAGAGCCCCATCCCGTCCTGAACCCGGGAGGACTTCAGGGAGAACCTGTCCGGCACGTACATGCCCAGCATTTTCCCGGCCGCGGCCGCCGCCGCCTCGCTCAGCACCAGCGCTCTGCGCCCGGGCGGCGACACATCGAAATTTGGGGTGCTGGGGTGGAGGGGAGAGGCCGGCGGGGAAGGAGGAAATGGAGTTTTCCTCCCAGAATCCCCACCTCTCCGCCGATTCCAGGATCCCCCGCGGCTCAGCCCCTCCTAGTCCCGGGTCTGCCTCAGCCCGGAGCCGCCGCGGCCGCCGCTGCCATTGCTGCCGCGGGGGCGCGGGGGGCGCGGGCCGGGGCGCTGCGGTCTCAGAGACGCCGCGCGCTGATTGGCCCGAAGTTGGCGGCTCGGACCCGCGCCGGGCGCGGCGCCGGGAGCGGAGCTGACCTCGGGGCCTCAAGCCCAGAGACCGGCGAGAGGAGAGTACCCGTCTGCCCCCCGCGCCGGGCGCTGCAGCTTACGGACCCGCCCGTGTCCAGGTCTGGGTTTTGCCCCGCTGAGCTAGTAGTACTCCTAGTCGGGGAATTTTACTGTTTTTAGATGCAAAACGAAATGGGCCATGACACAGCAGGGGGTATCCTCCCAAACAATTTTATGGAATTCCAGACTCTGAAAGTATGCTTATTGCCCAGCTACTGAAAGCCAACCCTAAGGACTAGGAACTTTGGGTGCTTCTCACATCTAAGTAATTTGTCTTTTTTTTTTTTTTAATGCTTGTTTCGGGGATTTGAATTCATAGGGGATCAGTAAGTATGGTGATTAACGTACACGGAAAGGGGGTGTACACCGTCAGCAACTAATCGATTTCAAATTAATTCAAAATTTGTCGCGAACAATTTAATATTTAAATCTAGCGGAAACTAGTTCTTGTATGGTGCTGTAACCCAGAGGAAGTTCTTACACTTCCCAAGATAGACCATTCTATCTGAGGTCTTTGGGAATTCATTTGGTGTTCCTATACATATTTGATGTTGCTTATAAACCATTAAAAATAACATTAAAGAGCACACTGTTAAAAAATAAAATTCAACTAAATTTTAAGGATGTTATTGGCTGCATTCAACAATCCATGAATGGGGCAGCATGCAATCTGGCAAACAAAAGAGCTTTGAGGAGCTGTACTAAATGAAAGACTTTTACAGGCAGAAGAAAGCAGGAACAAGGAAATTATACTAAACAAAAAAGCAGATTGGCTGTTGCAAGGTTACTTTCTTTTAGGTGATGGCAGGTACCCATCCGGCAGATTACTTATCTAGAACTCATCAGGCAACTCCCCAATGGTTTAAAATTACATTTCCACAAAAGCCAGAAGTAATTAGTTTGAATCTCAGTTTGATAACATGGAGCTTAGCATAAGTGACTCCATTTTGAGCCTGTTGTCTTGTTTTTAGCAACACACACATCATGGAAATGATTTCTATTTCTTGATTAAGAAAAGCCTTGGAATGAAAATAGTTCCTCATTTCTTAAGTGGAAGAATTTTATTAAAATCATATAATAACAATATTTGCAGATTTTAAAGAACAGAATAAATGATCCTCTTTTTTGGAAAAATGTAAGAGTAGCTTTGTCAGGGGTGAGAAGAACGATGTCTTAATTATTCTCTGAGTTTCCATCCCTTTGACCCACCATTGAAGACACTATGTAATCTTCTGTAGAGGGGAAATGAATCAATAAATAAATACAGTTTGGGGCACCTGGGTGGCTCAATCAGTTAAGCTTCGGACTCTTGGTTTCAGCTCAGGTCATGATCTCAGGCTCTTGAGTTCAAGCCTGGCGTTAGGCTCCGCACTTAGCACACTCAGCGTTGAGTCTGCTTGTCTCTCTGCTCCTCCCCTGCATTCGTGCATGCACACAGGCTTTCTGTCTCTGTTCTAAAATAAATAAATACAATCTTTTAAATAAATAAATCAATAGTTTATTTGAATGGATTTTGAAATTAAATGGCCTTGAAACACATAACAGGTGTTCAGTAAATATTTCTTGATTAAAAGTCACTTCTGGGAGCGCCTGGGTGGCTCAGATGGTTAGGCGTCTGCCTTCAGCTCAGGTCATGATCCGAGGGTCCTCGGATGGAGCCCCGCATCAGGCTCCCTGCTCAGGGGGGAGCCTGCTTCTCCCTCTCCTTCTCCTGCTCCCCCTGCTTGTGCTCTCTCACTCTCTCTGTCAAATAAATAAATAAAATCTTTAAAAGTCAATTCTGAGGCTAATCAGATTTTCAAACTAGTGAACGAATGATATGCCTAAATTTCACTTGTGCCCCAAAGAATCTGGACTAAATCAGTTTTCCTGAGGTCCCTTAAACCAGTGCTACACCCAGGCCACACCAGGTCCCCTGAGCCCTGCTGGAACCAGATCACAATCGAGAGGGTGGCCATGCCATTTTCCCCAGAGCACTCAGTCCTTTTTCAGACACAAGCCTTTCAGTTCTGGCCCCTCAGCCACACTGGCTTTTCAGTCAAATGCTCTGCCATGTCTCTGGGCACAGAAGTTTCCACAGCTTTTGGCCATTAGAGAGAAAAAGAAATGTTTTCTGGTCTTGGTCTGACACAACCCTCATTCACTGATGACCCTTGTTTGGCATATCTCCCTTTTTGTTGTGTGTTATGTTTCAGGGAGCAAAGTTGTCAGCTTGAGAATGCTCATTTTTCTGAATGTATGTATCTTTATTAATCAATAAATAGTAAAAAATAAATGTGTGTAAAGATGTCTGGAAGTAATAAAATGAGAAACTTTCCAGATCTTTTATGAATCTCTGTCAGAGATTTTGTTAATAACTGGCACAAACAGTAGATTTCATCAAAGACTACAATGTTCTTTTTACCTATATGATGGAGTGTTCAGAAGATCTGCCTAAAAGATGGAAATCAGTAATAAAAAGCTCTTAATAATAATCTCTATTACAACACATAAAAAAGGATACATGTTTGCCAAATCAAAATGCATAATACTGACCGGAAATTTGATTTTGAAGCCTGTAAAGACAGTAGTTGTACCATGAGTCACTTCTTAGAACTTTAAAAGCTAGAAAGTGACCTTTCAATATTATCTTTAGAAAAACGGGAAATTAAATGTTTGCTTTATATCATGAGTTTAAATCCAGTCTCTAAAAAATAAGTAAGAAAACCAAAATATTGACGTCTAAGTACTACCATGCACCTGATTTACTTACTCTAGAAAATTCTGATGCAAGATAAATGACTCTAAAAACATGTCTCCTTATTTTCAAATTTGCTTCTGGAGGAAATTTTTTTCATCGATATGCCTAAAGCAAACTCTACTTATTGAATTCAAACTTGTGTGCTGGTGCAGGCCTTGTTTTTCATTAGAAGGAAAGACTTGAATGATGATTCTATATTGATTATTTTACCAGAATTCTTTTGATTGTGTCTTGGTTATTACTGATTGTTTCCAACTGCCATGATAGAATAAAAACCTAATAGAAAAAACAAAACAAAACACTGAGGGTTATTTGTCTTTAGTTTCCTGAGAGTCAGAAGGATTTTGTAGTGAATGAATATGAAACCAAGTTTCCTGAGAAGAAAAGAATAAAGATTTATTTAGTGTGACTAAAAAAAAAAAAAAAAAAATTCTGAAAATAAAATCCACAGTGGGGTTGTTGGATTCTTGCTCTAAAATCATTTCTCCTTAGCACTGATTCTACAATAGCAACAGCACCGTGAAAAGATGACCCTGAAACCTGAAAAAGTCTGCATATTTATTTTTCCTTAATCTCTTGGTTTTAAGTGATGATACCAAAGACTTATATGTGGTACCAGAACATTAAATCCTTTAATTAGAAAAAACCTAGGGGCACCTGGCTGTCTCAGTCCATAGAGCACGCAACTCTTAATCTCAGGGTCATGAGTTTGAGCCCCACATAGATGTAGAGATTACAAAAAACAAACAAATAACAAACAACAACAACAACAACATGAAAAATCCTAGAAGTTATTGGGACTAGAGTGAGTAATGTTGTAAAAAGAAAAGCCAAAGGGAAGGGAAAAATGAAGTGGGGGGGGGGATCGGAGGGGGAGACAAACCAGAAGAAACTATGGACTCTGAGAAACAAACTGAGGGTTCTGGGGTGGGTGGGGCCTGGTGATGGGTATTAAAGAGGGCACGTTCTGCATGGAGCACTGGGTGTTATATGCAAACAATGAATCATGGAACACTACATCAAAAACTAATGATGTAATGGATGGTGATTAACATAACATAATAATAAAAAAAAAATTTGATGCCTTGGGCCCTGGGTAAAAAAAGAAAAGCCAAAGGATAAATCAGTGGTCATGGCTCCAAAAGTCAATGCTGTTCATGGAGCGGCATGTGGAAGCTGAAGGAAACTAACAGAAGGAAACCAAGGATAATAGTTTCCACGCATTGAGCCTAGTATATACCAGAAACCAGACTAGGTTCTTGGTATCCATTATCTTAAAACCCTAACAGCCCTACCATAACAGTCTGGCAAAGTAAATTTTATTTGCCCCCTTTTACACACCAGGAAACTGAATCCCAGAGAAGTGATCAATCATAAGTCAATTTGACACATCTATGAAGTGGTGGAGGTAATTCAAACTCAGGACTGACGACTCCTATGTCCTTGATTCTGTCTCCTGCTCATTCAGTCTGGTTCACTTTCCAGTTACACTTCCCATGAGGCTTTAGGAGAGGAGGAACTCTCCACTTACCTCTCTCTCTCTCCCTCTCTCAACTCATCTCCCAATGCCCCCTCCAACTCCTCCTCTAGAACTGGGCAGAAAATTTGATTGGCCAAAGTCCATAAAATACTTACTCTGTTGTCAGATGCTCCAGTTGGGTTCAATCAACTGTATTAAAGAGAAGATCGAGTCCTGTGATTCTCCAAGGACATTTCCTCTGCAGAGAGTGACTGTAAGATAAGACACTCCAAGGATATTTCCTCTGCAGAGAGTGACTGTAAGATAAGACACTGCTTTTACAGAAAGTTTCCCTGAACCTGATACATATTTTGAAGCTTGGTCTATTTAAAACCACAGCCTAGCTCATCCACATATTTCTAATCCACAGAAGTGATAATATTAAGAAGAATCAGTAATTAACCAAAAAGCAATACCAATGCTCCCATGTTTGTGAGAACCTCACAATTTGTTCTACTGGTTTCCCTTTT